GGATCTGTAACAGGAATCATGTACATACGATGTAGTCTGTTTTTGAAACTACGACTCAAAAGGAGCTTAGAGAAAAGGAAGATAATACCAGAATCATTTAATTTAGGGATAATGTTATGAAAAGAGAGGTTTGCATGAGAACATTCACTTTTACTGTTTCCCTCTAAATTTCACAGCGTTAAATGTGATTCTTTATGGTCTTAAAAACCTTAACATTAAAGAAAAAGCATATAACTTAGAAGAAAAAATAGACCAACTTAAGTGATTTTAGAAGTTAATTTGATTTCACTCTGTGACCTTCAAGTGTGCAAGCAACCACTTAGTGAGCAACCACTGCTGAACACTCAACTTGCAATAAAAACAAGGAAAGCTGAGGGCAGTCATGCAGGGCATCTTCATAACCTGTTAACATCTACATAGTTTTCATTTTGTAATTAAAAAGGTAAGTTTCCCCTTTCCAGAGTTTGAAGTCATTGACATCTATTGACAAGCTATAAATTAAAATAAAGACAATGTAGATGGCAAGAAAAGTTTTCTTTCTTTACAAATAGATCTAAACCAACATTGAAAACATGGCAGCATTCATACTCAAATTCCAGGCAGCATGAGTATTAACTCCACAGAAAATGTGTTGACAATAAAATATTTTCCAGCATATGCATTATCCCTTCACAGGAGCTTCCTTCCTCCCAAAATGCAAATATATACATACATACACCAGTTTTGAAATGTAAAAATCATCAGGTTGCACAGTACCATCTCAGCCTTGCTTAAAACCCTAGTTTTTAATTAAAGAGTTGAAGCTTTTCCTTCTTGAAACCTCCTCCACCAAAGGTGAGAAGCAGAGGGAATTCTCCCCTTTCTCTTTTGTTTAATCCCAGCCTATACCTAAGGCCATTGGCCACTCTTCCCAAGGACTCTGCAACATCTGTATTCCAAATCAAAAAAATTCATTTTCAGATAAACCAGGATGATCCTTTTTTATTACCATAAAGACTGAAACTTGTTCTAAGTCAAATGACAAACTGCCTCAAAGGCAATTCCTGATCATGCCTATCCTTTGGGATGGAAGGAGGGGAAAATTTAAAAAGAAAGTCTGAAATAACAAGGATTTGATAAGAAGAGTCTCATCAAATATCTGATGACAAGTGTCTGGTTCACTAACAAGCAGTAAATAGGCATATTGTACTACAGACCAAAAAGATATTTGACATACACATATATACACATATATGTGAAAGTACCATTATTATTACTGGAACTCCTTTGGACAGAAAAGAATTCCTCTATGATAACTGAAATTAATTTTGAAATGAAATTTCTTAACTGCACATGTAAGTTATTTTCATTTTCAGGGCTGCATTAACTATCATAATACACATATAGCTGCAGAGGAACTTTTTATAAGAGTCTGTAGGGATAAGACAAGAGAGAATGGCTTTACGCTGACAGAGGGCAGGATTAGATCAGATATCAGGAAGAAATTCTTCACTGTGAAGCACTGGAACAGGTTGCCCAGAGAATTTATGGAGGTCCTGTCTCTCAGAGTGTTCAAGGCCAGGTTGGATAGGGCTTGGAGCAATCTGGTCTAGTGGAAGGTGTCCCTTTCCATGGCAGGGGCATTGGAACAAGCTGTTCTTTCAGCTCTCTTCCAACTGATGTCAGTCTGTGACACCAGAGCAGGCAGAGGGAGGATGTGCCTGGAAGCTGGGACCCCTCCCTGTGTCACTGCCTGGGTGGAGGGCAGATCCCAGGGCACACAGCTCAAGTGCTGAACAGCAGCAGGGCTGGGGGACAGCTCACAGCTGGTCCCACCTTAGCCAGGCAAGCCAGGATGCAGGAGGCACAGCCATGTAAGTGTCTGAGGGCACCAACACAAACACCTGTGCTGTGAAGGGCTCAGAAAATGGGGGTATTTTCTCTAAAGCACACCATGACGTGTCTGTGCAGAACACACTTTCTGTAACCAAATATCAACAGGCACAACACAACGGCTTCTATCCAATCTTCCTCAGTTCTTGGAATTTATCTGGCTAGAATTTCACTCCAAGTCTTGTAGACTTTAAATTATCATAGCATTTAAGAAAATTGTATTGCCAAATCAAGTATATAAAAGTGCTAACTGGGCCATTTTACAAATGTAAATTCTCTGAAATTCAGAACATCATTTAGCCAAATACACACCCATACACCTATATACAGACACCATCACACACACTTGCAGCAGCATTAGAAGTTTTGATACAGTCTTTCTCAGAAAGAGAAAAGCCAAAGAGTTCTAACTTTATTTTCCCTAGAAGAAAATGCTCAACATGGATAGTTACATGGACCACTGTAAAGAGCCTTCACATAACTCCTCTCTCTTCTACTTGCAAGACTGCACACAGCTGTTATTTTTTCACATATTAATTTTCCAAATCATCATCTTTTTCATCTATGCTAAAATTAAAAAGATGCACCAATACTTCATGTTCCAGCAAAGCTTCTTTCTGAAAGTCTACAAAAACCACCCCAATTCTATCGCTATTATAGGAACTCTTTTTGAGAAAACAGTCAGAAAGTCAATCCTCTTCTATAAAGATGCCCAGAACAGCCCAGTAATAACCTAACTCCCTGCTGACACAAAAATGACAGATTTAACCACCTAATCTGAAGCCTAGATTAGGAAACCTAAGCAGGGTGCTAATGGGAGAGTTGGTCTTTGGACAGATGTCCCTTAATGTAAACAGAACATCCTCAAGGCAACAGAACAAGCATTCTAAAGCCAGGTGACTTTCACAAAAGCTCCTACAGATTCAAGGTGTGAAAATGCCAGTGCTTTGGAAGTGGGGGAAAAATTACTTGGTAATTAAATATAAATATATTAAAAAAAATAGCTACAATTTTGTTTGAGTAAAACCCTCCTTGAGTTTAAAGCTCCAGAAGAGAAGCACCCAAGCACAGCTGCACCCAGGGATGAGGCTGCAGGGAGCTGTGCAGTAAGGGTGACACCTCGTGGTGCCAAACCACAGAAACACAGACCCCTCTCTTCCCAAACACAGCCCACCTCATACCCACCTGTGAGGCTCTCCTGCAGGGACAGGAACTACAAATCAAATCTCTGCCAGTTTTCACACCTCCTCTATCTCACAGACCTGCCTTAAATGTGTCTTCCTAATCCCTGTGTCACAGTTCTGACAAGCACACATGGAAAACAGCACAAGTGATTTCATGCAATGTTTAATGCACAACCCTTAATCAAATGATGAAGAAAATAAAGTCAGCCCAGCTTTAACATTTTTTGGTTAAAATTAATATAGAGAAATTACTGTAAACAAAAGTTTCAGAGAAGCAAGTCAACAGGTCCAGTTACATAAAAATTAACATTGTCATTAAAAAATTTAATTTAGCTACATAAAAGATCCTTTGTTCTGGTATCTCCCATATCCAACAGAAGCTCAAATGCATTATTTTCTGCAGCTTCACAAACAAATCTCAGATTCCATAGATCATCACACTGCATGCATTTGAGAAGTCACTTTGCCTTCCCACTGCAGTAGTTAGTGCCAAGTTTTTTTCCCAAAGATACAAGTTTAAGAAAGCAGGGTGTCTATCTCTTTCAGTAAGTGCTCAATATAAAAATTAAAGGAAAAAAGCAACTTTAAATGCTGTTATATAACAAAAGTAGGAAGACAAGAAGTGAAAAACACTTTTTACTGCTCTGCTTGAGCTACAAGAGGGTTACAGGAGTGAATTTAGAAAGGATTTGGATATGTGAAAAAACAAGAATAATTTCATGCAGTAGAGCAGTTAACATCTCAAACTGTTTCTGGAAAGAGTTGCTAAGGGAAATCTCCCTTCAGTTTCCCACCTATGTTTCTTCCTCATGTTCATACATGCACAGTAACAAAGTTTTTCAAGAGACACCTGAAATCAACTATTTCATACAGCTAAAATGGGATCTATGTAGCATTTAAAAGATGACAGAGCAGTATCATCCCAAGATATCTAGTTTTTCAAAATATGCATGAAAAATTTATTAGTTACACGGATCAACAGTAAGGAACCATGATAAAAGGGGTGGAATTTCTGAAGGTAAATTGTAACAACTGCCTTCTTTCAGAAACTGCATGCCTTGCCTGTGATGTGAAAATCCATCAGGAATTTCTGAAATGGTTACCATAATATCCATACCATGACCACTCTATGGCCCCACAGGCTTACCCAGGAATACTTTTTAATGAGTTTATTCTACATCCAGGGTTATTTTCACATCCCTCCTAGAGCAGAAACCTCAGTTACAGAGAGCTGGCATGGATATGCTTCGTTTGCTGAAAAAGCTCAAGGAAGAGGCCAAAGAAAACATAGGGGTCCTTGTGCAGTAACTGGAGGGTGCAAAGAAACTGGAATGCTCAGGACTGGGGAGTTTTAAGAGTTAGAGGAGAACTATTTTTACATAAAGTGAAATAGTAAGGGATTTGAAGCAGGACTACAGAATCCAAGGCCAGTATCCCTTGGAAGAGAAATGGCTCTGCAAGCTGCAATTTTTATAGTTTGGAGGAAAGAGATGTGACAGTGTTCTAGAGTAGGAAGACTAAACAGGAAAATCAAGTAAGTAGGGGTGAAATTAACTCCAGGCCTGCCCTAGAAGGAAGTGAACACGTGTGTTCTGCAACAACCACTGTACCTCTTCTCTCTGACCCCCTTTCTCTTTGCTCTTAAGAGCAAGAGGTCTGTTTTGTGACCATGAGAGCCCCTGGCTTTGGGAAGAGCCACTGGCAGCAAAATCTCCCAGCAACATTCCACTCCTGAGAAATTGCACCTGAGTACAAATTAACTCTGTGTTTAACAATAGATATTTTTGGCCCTACCACTTACCTCTTGGCAGAACGATTAAGCACAGCTAGACGTTCCTCTAACATCCTGATTCAAATATATCCATAAAGCAAGCAACATTTTCAAATTGTTGTTGGCTAAGGTCATGTTTTGCAAACTTGTATCTGATACAAAGTGAAACTTACCTATTTTTTTTGGAATTTTCATCTTTCTCTCTTTTAACTCCAAAAATTCTTGTAATCAGGGCACTAAAAAGAAGTGTAGATGAGTTTCGTACCTAGAGGAAAAAGTAAGAACTATGTTTGAAAAATCCCTTTGAAATGTATGATTTTTTTTTAAAATACAGCCATTAATGTACAGTCAAAAAAAAAATAACAACTGAGTGAAAAGCAAGCTACAGGTCAGCACATGGAAACTATTAATTCAGAGCATCCTTCCAATGAAGATGATCCTACTGGAAAGGTCAGGCTCTTTGGAGATGCCTATCTTTATTACAGGGAATGTATCCAGATTTTTAGTGGTTCAAAGCATTCACCCTTATGCAGAGAAGATCATGAAGTGTTCTACCTGAACATGCCATATGGGATCTTTAATTCAAGAGCAAAGTAACAGTGAGAATGAATGCAAATGCACTTTTTACTAGCTAAGTGCACTGACTCAAAATTTAACAGCTAGAGAGACTTTAATCTATAAGGTAATCTTTGTCCCTACTTTTTGTGGAGATCAGCACTTCACATTAAGAAAAATTAAAGCCAAAAAAACAAGACCAAAATGATGAATTTTTTGCAAGTCTACATTATTTTTTACTGTACCTTAAAATATTACATTCCCAAAATTGTGATACTGCCATTTATAAACATGACCAAAGCTTCACTGAACAGGACCACTCTATATCCTGGTAAACTGGAGAAGCAAAATGAAGAATTAACTTACTGCCCAGACAGGTGACATAAACCCTAGAATTGATGCTTTTATTCCATCTGCAACATAAGGCATGATGTTTTCACCTAAACGTGTATCCCTATACAGTGCCCGGAGGATATTTAAAGCATGAACCTGTGGTGGGAGAAGAAATATATGAAAAGTATAAATTCATAAGTAAATATCTTAAATTTCATTTACATAATCACAGTGAAGATTTAAATTTTTACATAAATTTCATTTATGTAAAAACAGTGAATATGCAAAGCAAAAACAATCTATACTCACATTTACAGCACTTTATTTCCATATTAAATACAAGCAATACTGCTGCTTAAAAATACATTAAAATAGTGCTGCAGTAAACACAGTTAATAGCAGTTATAGTTTAAAAATATATTCCTCTAATAATTACAGTCCAGGCATTGCAAGTGAAGGCCAACATTCTTTTATCCTTAGCTTATCATGGCTGTAAAAATAACTTTTGAAGTTCAGAATCATCTTTTCCAACATTCTTCACACACTGTGGATACTGTGAGAAAAAATAAACTACAGCTCACAGGAGGGCAATATTAAGCTAAAACTGACAACCAGGCTTGCTCTACCATGTGGAGCATTTTCTGACATTTCTCTACCCTCTGTAAGGGAAGGTGGTAACACATGTAGCTTCAGACTTTGACAAAGCTACATAAATTTATACCAGCAGAAAATCTGGCAGAGCCATTAGGACATCCTTCTGTGTATTGGGAACAAATTATGGCTTGCACTTACAAACAGACAGAAAGCAAATTATAACATTTTGAAGATAAAGGTCTTGCCTTTAAAATTTTTTTTTATGTATGTATTAAGTATCAGAAGTTACTAAGTATGACTAAAATCAGTTTTCATGTAGTGTTTTACTATGATTCATGCATAAATAACTCATTTATTTACTTTAAATGTAAGCAAAGCTTGCTTGTTCAGCTACAAACTTGTAAAAAGGAAGTTACTTATCTATCTGTTTAAAAATGTACTCGAGGCAGTAAATTGCTCATATATGACTTCATTGGCTGTACTAGAAAAAAACTATGGAATTATGCCCAATCCACTTTTTAGTATGTTTTACAGTAACTTTGTAACCTTTACACATGCAAAGCTTCTAAAATCTAGCTATAGACAGTAACAACAGAATATGCTCATTAAAAACACACACTCTCCTTAACTGCTTCAAATGGTGTAAACACACTTTTGACATTTGCCTTTTGATGAGAGGCAGAACTTTACCTGTGGAATTACACTTAAAGATTCATTCAAAGGTGCAGCCAGAGATATCAATTCTTTCATTGCCATTTTCAGCAAATTTGTTTTGCCCTTCTTTGGTTCTGATGCCAACAAAGCCTATAGAAAGGAGAAAAAAAAAATAAAAATCAGGTGCTTCTAGGCATTTTTTTTTTTACTACCAGTTCTTCTGTCATTCTTGTATTTACCATATCACAGCCTAGCTTCTGACCATACAGAATGACTAAGAAAAATTTACAAAAAATGAAGCTTCAGTTTCAACTCAGCTTTGTTCAAAGCTTGTCAGTATACAAATCATAGCATTTTGGACAGCAAAAGTATCTGCTGTACTACACATACTTACATTTCCTAGTATGGATTTTTTTTAATGTTAATAACATCTATATGAGATGACAAGGGCTGGCCAAATAATAAATTCTGGTTTGCAACACAGGATAAAACAAGCAGCAAATTTTTGAAAAAAGGGAAGAGATACATCCCTCTCCAAACAGCATTTCAGTGGATTGGACAGCCAGCTGAGATGAAAATACTCTAGATTAGTTCTCTAAACTTCAGGACTGAATTTAGAAATGCCTCTCTCTTTATCTAGTGGCTCTTGTTGAATTTTTCCAAGTCAGGACAAATTGATAATCATAAATCATTTATTACCAATAAAAATTATTATCTATTTGAGCTCTGGGGCCTAGAGTCTGTTCAGCATCAGTAAGAACCAAATGAATTTCAGAGCTTAGGCAGAAACCCAGGAGTAGTTTCTGTCAGTGTATCAGTATCTTTAATGATAGGAGAAACAGAGAGGGCAGGTGGGGAAAAAAAAGGTGTTCATGAAGTATGAAAGAGAGGAGAATGACCTGAAGACTAAAATTTCATCATGTTAAAGCTGAAAACCATATTTTCCCACACACTAAATGGAGCTGCACCTTTGCAGTAATAACATTCCTATTTAAAAGAGGTCATGGAATGGTTATAATCTAAAAAATTACATATTCTCATTAAAATATATGTATTTAAGTTCACAAGAACACAGCATAGCATGAAAATAGCAAAAAGACCACACTGCAGTAATAAAATATCCTTCTTTTACTGCTGTTAGGATACACACTACAGCTCATATTTTTATTATCTAAATGCCACAAGGCATTGAAGGTTCAACTCATTTTACTGAATCTACAGACACATTCAAAACTATTTCCAAAGAACACTACCATCTCTCTTTACTATAAAATTACAGTATGAAAACAGTTTATTTCAGACTAATCCCAATGTTAATTTTAAACTTTCCTGCTAATTGACTAAACTCTGTACTCTTCCAGAGCTGTCAAAAAAGAAGCCTCTGACCTATTTATCCAAATGCAGATTACACATGCAGAGGGATATCACTGGGTCCACCTAGTCCTTACAGCAACCTAAATTTTTACATAAAAGACTGATTGAAACATGCTGCTTTTTTCCCATATTGTCAAGGTTAAAATCAGATAACATCCATTAGATTCAAACTGTGTGGCATGAATGGGGAAACCAGAAAACATGAAATCATCACATTTTTTCTGCAGACAACTTACTCTTAGAAGTGAGAAAGATATTTAAGTGCTGAAACTGAACAGGAAAAATGTCTCTAAAGCCAGTGCCCTACTTCTGATCTCTGCTGCCTTGCACACACATCTAGCAATGCCAGGAGCAGGCTGTGACTGACATTAGAGGTCAGACAGAAGCTGGCTGCCTCAACTGTCTCAGGGCAAACTCAGAGTGGAAAACAAGCAAGATGAATTATTCTGGCAGGGAGAGCTTGCTCCCAGCAGTCCCTCAGATCCTTGGAACGTGCTTGAGACTGTACTTCTGAGAGTGGAGAAAGTTACAAACCATACTGTTACTCTTGGACTCCTGTCTTAGAAAACTGGTTGAAAATCAAGATCATGGAGGTTAATTTAGGGGAAAGCAAATATGGCTGCTTTAAGGAACAAAGGAATGAAAATAGGTGAAGTGTAATCTGCAGAAGCAACTCTGCAGTGACTGATCCCTCAAGGATGCAGATGAGGTGCTGCATCATGTGGGGCACTCAGCAAAAGGTGACACTTCAAGCAGAGACAAAACTCCATCCTGCCAGCAGTTCTGAACTTGGCAGAAGTCAAAGGGGCTGGGATTGATGGAGCTGAAGGTAACACAGGGAGTGGGAAGAATGTGGGAGCATGGCCCCATGTTCTCAGACAGAAGTCTTCAGCAATGTACTCCTTCATTGCACTTGAGATTCCAGTCAACACCAGGCAGTGTGACACTATTGTGCTTTATTGCTGGTGAGTGGCCTTCCCAAGTTCTTTTCAGTCTTTAACAGGCCACTATTTTGCAATTCTGGGAAGGTCTGTTCATATTCTGCTACTTCACACTGAAGCAGCACATAGTTAAAGCCTTATTTAATCTGTGAATTAATTTGTGAATTTGCCAGAATTATTACAGTTGTAACACAAAGCTTACACAGTCTTTAGAATGCCATTGAAATCTACCACAAGCCAAAAATCTCAACAGTCAATTGAACTGAGATGCCAAATATGGCTTAATTACAAACACCTTCTTGGTTGCACAAAGGCAATAAAAATCTGTATTAAAAAACCCAAATAATTATTTGATCAAAAGGGGTTGAAGTGGGAAAAATAAATATGCAATTTCCTTTTTTTAAAATGCCATTTCTGGAGAATATATTTAAATCAGAGGCAGTGATACAAGTTGGTACCTGTATGTAGAATGGGATTCCTGCACTCCGTCGGGTTGCACACAGTGTGGAAGAAGGATCACAAGATTTAATTTCTTCTAACACACAGCTTAGCCAGTGCTCTGGCATCTTGTGCAGACTCTCACTGTTACATCTACATCAAACAGATACATAAGAAACATCAAACAAGTGAATAAAACAAGGACAAAGTCAAAGAAAGCATTGAGCAACCTGAATAAGTATTTCTTACTGTATGTTAACATCTCCAAGCACATGTACAGATTTTTATTATGAAATCAGTTTAAATTTAAACAAAAGTGTACATTTTTCCAGTGTTGGTACAAATAATATTAACCCTACTTATAAAGTGTGACTAGCAAAATACATTTAACTGTACTGAAAACACGATTCAGTGTTTTACTGCAACAAGTCCCTTCTGCCAAAAATTATTACCATGTTCTGGAGAAAAAAGGCAAGGACATATGCACATCAGCCACTGTGTAGGAAGTGACACTTCACAAATTTATATCTCTGCTGCCACACAGTAGCTGATGTACGCCCCTTTATACTATTATTGATGTTTATAAACATACAAACTGAATCTGAAGCCCCTCAAAGTAAGCACACATTATGTAAATAACCCTGCAAAGCTCGGAGCAATGGAAGGAATTAAAAACAAGACATTGTGCTCTTTTCAATACTAAGTCAGTCAAACTTTTTGTAAAGCCCCTCAACTGCTCTCCTATCATCAAATACTCCTCCTCTGCAGTTCTAAAACTCAGCATTGCCTGAAAGCAAACAACTTCCAAGGAAAAACTCAAGTCTACTTCAATTACTGGTGCTGTTCAGTTCAATAAAATGTACCACATTCAGTGTGCAACACCAGCCCATTAATCTCATGTCAATGTTCCAAAAGGCTCATTCATTGTTACAAAAATTTCTATTAATAGGACATTGTTATTAAAACCTGTCACACTGGTTTGATAGGTGATTCAGAGTAGAAGAAATAATTCATCACTGTGGGCAATACAGCTGCAACTATCTCAACCATGCAGGACTTGCCTTACCTAAAAATATAAACTATAATTAAATTCATGATGAGGTAGTGAGACCTACAGTAAGACTACAATCAAGTTTTCTACCTGGGTGACTGAAATAAAGAATTTAAAAGCAAAGGTGAAAGGCAGCAGGTACTGGTGTGAAAACCAAAATCTAATGGAAGGTCTACATCTATTCCCTTCTTCATCCTCCTCTTAAAGCAAGAATTTACATTGTCTAAAAACCTGATCATGAACAATAAATGAGGCTTTAATCTGTAGCGAAACACACATTTCCTTCTTTTACAAAAAACCCCAGTACAGTAGTAATGCAGAAACCTGAGGTCACAGGAAGTGCCAGACAGGTCAGCAGAAGACACAGGACACTTCTTACTCTTCAATAATTCCTGCAGGATTTCCACCACATTTCCTACACTGCTGCCAGGCATTCTCCACATTTTTTAAGGGCAGCACCTCTTCAAAAGGGCAGTCAGAATGCAAAGCACCAGTCCAGAGCTCAACAAGAACTGGGCATCACAAGCAATTCCTCATCTCACACCATGGCATGAAGAAAGGCACTTCCTGCCCCAAGCCCATGACAGAGGCAATCAGACTAACCTGGAAACTCACAGTGAGTTCTCTTTTCTTTTAACTACTCTCTTTTGCTGATAAGTGTTTGCCCTGGCTTACTTTCAGGATGCTTTCCTTTGCTCACTTTTGGGTACACAATGAGGACACAACTCTAGGATTGAAACCACACAAAATTTCTTACAAATCTCCTCCATGAGTCTCAGCAATTAAGACACTACTTTGCAGTTCTCTTCATCCACATCAACACATTCTGCAAAATCTGCTCCTTCTGATCATGGAGACACCTGGTCTTACCTCCCTAGCTAAGCAGAATTTAAATGTCTCCATTCAATCACTCAGAGAACAGTGCTCATCTCTTCAGTGTGTTATCTTAGTATTAACATGAACACCCATGAGAAATACCTACATCTGCTGGGGTGCAGAGAAGCACAAAGTAAAGCATTAAGGAAATATTTACAATTTGCTGTGTAGCACACTGAATATTTTATTCTTAAGTAAACTGAGGGATCCTTCTCTTCTCACTATTAGTAGAAAGAGGAGAAGCATACTCAAGTCAAATAAACTTCAGACTCCCTTCAAGTCAAACTGCTTTGATCTTACCACAAGTAATTCTACCTTGTTCAGTCACCCACCAATGCACTTTTATTTATTAGAAGGTGAAAGAGTTACTGCTGTAGAGTTAGAAACATTAGAGACTATTGACTTGGCAATGGAGAGGACTACTCCCTTCCACTTGGCAGCTCTGTCTCCTTGTGGTCTGGCAAGAAGAATATTGTCATAAGAAGCAGGTGGCCCTAAATTTTAAGAATAACGAGGCTTTACAATAAAAAAAAAATTAAGGCCTCAAGATGAAATGTCATTTTCCAGAATGAAATAGTGATTATTTCTACCAGATCAAACAAATATTGTTGATAATGAAAATGCAACCCAGTAAGTTGATACACAAATTACTTAAGATACAGTACATTAAGTGTAATCCACAATTTTCTCTCTGTTCATCTGTCAGTTTAAACGATTTCATACATGCCCCAAACCCCTTCTGTGTTCAGTATCAATGAGCACAAAAGCCTGACAATCCTAAGTTAAAGCTAAACTCCTCTCCATAAGTCATATATCTGTATTTTCTCCTATCTGAAATAAATGGTGTGTTAACAATGGGTCAATCTTGAATTTGGCCCTCCTGGATGCAAATGCCTTGTGGCATAAACATCTCAGGACCACAAGCATTATTCTACATGTGTATATCCAGAATTCAGTGATTCCAATCCCTGTAAGTTCCTATCCAGGAAAAAAGTGGGTTTCTATCACCATTTTTTTTCTCTCTCAACAGGCCTGCAGTATTATTCTTTTTCACGTAAGTAATGTGATTCCCATTTTTTATAGACACAATATTGCCCCTGGTACTTCAGAGACCAGAATCTAACCTCAAAAACACACTACTATTCCAGTTACAAGTCTGCTTTTAAGAACAACTCCTCTGAAACTACCAATTCCTTCCACTTGCATCCTCCTTGTCATAGCATCTACTCTACAGGAAACAAAATTCTCCAGATTATAGAGGTGCACTGAGAAGGGTTTGAGGTTTCTCTTTGGGCAAAGCAGAGCACAGAGAACCTTGGGTGCCTTCAAAATTTCAGACAGTATCATTACCCCATATCTCTCTCACAGCAAGCAGGGAAAGATATGGGAGGGAAAACATGAACAGTGTTTAAAATTAATACATCTTCAACCTGAGCACTGCCTTAACACTGTATTTCATGCTTCCTTATGTCATGTATTTCCTAACACTACAAACATCTCAATATATAAGAGCAGTGTTTTTCCCCCGCTTTCTTTCTCTCCCTTCAACACTCTTTCCTTCACACCTGTGATTATACTTTTGCTAAAAGGTTATTTACAATATTGGTAAGTTTCACTAGAAAGTCCATTAGCAATATTTCCATTTTACAAGTCCTCCTGGCAGATCATAGCAGGCTGGGAAAGCAAAGAGCAACAGTCACTTCTGAGCAAGAAAATGAGACAGAAGCATAGTTTGCTGCTAAGGCTTAGTGTTCCCCAAAAGAAATATTACAGAAGACCAGACACTGACTAGGTACAGATAAGTAATTTTCACTGATACTGACAGATTAAACATTTTTAAAAGAAAAGCATGATTTTCATCATGCAGTAAATTACAGCTTTCCACAAAACTGTTACGAACCTAACTTACTGCATCCCCTAAAATAGTGCTCACCACTATTTAAGTTCCAATCAAATATTTGAAAGTTTCCAAAATAAATTATTCCTAAGTAAACGCATTGCACTGTATGACATTACTCTTCCCAAACCTTACACTTGCATTCTGCAACTTTAGTGAAGCAAAGCACTACCACCATAACTATGCAACACCATTTCAGATTTCCAGAAATCTACCTGATCTCTCAGCAAAGAGATCACTGAATAAAAGAAATGTAAAGCAGGCAAAATGTCATTTGGGACAGAGAAATTGCTTGAGTAATAAGGACTACAGGAGATTCAAGTTTTCAAGTTTAAAACAGATTTCTGACTTTCCTGAATCACCATGGTATCAGACCAAATGAGCATTTTTTAATTTCTCCAGACCTTTGACAGGAAACACCCTTTTTAAAAGCATATTGCTTATTTCATTGACATGAATGTTGCTTGTTATGTAACTGTATGGTTTTCTGAAGGTGCAGCTGCAGGCAACATTAAGCAGGCATGAAAAAGAGAGCAGGACACTCCCAGAAGGAGTATCAACAGGGAAACAGAAGAATGGTAACTTGCATATTAGAGCAGACTCAGCAATTTACATCCCAATTTCAAGACAGATCAATTTCATCAAGTTTCTAAGAAATCTCTGCAGAGGAAATATTTTTCTTTCACCACTAGCTCAAACAGGTCTGAATACCATCATTCTGTCTAGAAAACAAGTCTGTTCTTGGTTCTTATAAGGACTGGTGTTTAAGGGTTGTAAGCTAAAAGCAAGGTCAGATAAAGACACTGCAGCAGAAAGTCTTTAAAACACTGTTTGGCTAGAAATAAGTGAAGGACTATGTTCAGTTGGAGTCATTCATAAATGCCTGGCACAGTCTTAGTGACAGGTTTTTCACTGTGCTTTACAGAAAAAACAAATTCAAGTGTCAGGGATCCTTCTGCACATCTAAAATTCAGTCCTGTTCAGCAAGGTATCATGCAAAGCTGTACATTATGATAAGCTGCCCCGGACAAAAGCTTTCTGCTCTGGACATTTGTGGACACAGCAGTAAATGAATACAGACTCTGACACATGTGCTCCAGGACTGCCCATGAGCCTCTCAGCTGTGGAGAGAGGCAGGCCAGCTGAGATCCAGGGCAGAATGGAGTTCCCAGCTGCAGCAGGGGACATGGAAAGGCTCCATGACAATCAACAGACCTGCAAGGCAGCTGCAATCACTGAGACTTAATTCCTCCCTTTTGGAGGAGAGTCTCAAAATATTCCTCATGTCCCAGGAGACCAAATCAAAGAGTCATTTCCTGTTCTGGTATCAGTCTCCTTTCTCCTTTGTTTTAAATACAAATATAAGCCTTGAGACCTGTAGTTCCTGGAAAATATTGTCTTTCCTTGAAACTAATGTACATACACAGAGCTGCTCTCCAGTTCTTATAAATCTTTTTTCCCAAAGGAACACTTGCTCTGCTTGAAGTATCTTAACTTAAAAAATGCTAGGCAATATGGATAACCAAAAAAATTGTAACAGACATCTGCTAATTCAAAAGAGGAAACTTCCTTAATTTTGGAGGGCTTTTGTTTTGGATGATACATACATATCACTTAATGTCTGAATAATTTTCAGGCAAGAAGAGTTCTCTTGGGCTTGGCTCTTCATTTTTCAACCTAACATAAGGCTGCTGTTAAGTGGATTGTGCTCCATTAAATACAATGGCAGAAAGCAGGAGGGGCACCAAACACATCAACAACTTTTCCAAAATCTAGGCATATTTGCTCTACTCTATTTGCCTCAGCTTCTAAAAGAAATTTCAAAACTGAAAATCAAAGAAAAATAGTGAGTCGGCTATAAAGTGGCTGCATGTTTTATATGTCTTTCATTATTCCCTGCTTTTTGTTTTGCCTTTGCTACAAGAGAGACCTGCATATTGACTGAGATCAGACCAGTGGGGCTGTACCTGCCTGGATTACTTTCTTTCTCCTCCCAGACAGAGTCGTGGTAGTAAAAGGTCTGTTTGTTGGTTGTTTTCTTTTTTTATAAACTGTATTACTGTGATGGCCAGACTCTCTCTTCACACTGATGGGAGAAAACTTATATCACCTTAGAACTTCCTGAACCAAGTTTCCATGGTGCAGAAGAACACCCCAATGTTTAAATAAGGAAACAAAATTTTCCAGATTATATAGGTGCACTGAGAAGGGTTTGAGGCTTCTCTATCAGCAAAGCAGAAACAAAATAAGGAAACAAAGTAAGTGTATATAAAACATAAGGACAGGCAAGAAGATAAGCAATAAGTTTTTTTTTTTCTTTTTGAGTAAACAACCAAGTGTAAAGCAAGGTTGTGTGAACACTCAAACTCCTCAATCCAATTTGAAATCGCTCAGATTGCTAATACCTGAAAGAAAATAATGTACCTTAGAGAGAGAGAGAGATCACCAAGAGAACCATGGCATGCAGTTTAACATCCCTCTGGCACACAGAGCCAACACCACCACGTGTCAAATACCATTTCTGCAGCAGTGCTGCTACACAGATGCAGCAGCCCCACCCAGCATCCTGTAGCAGAGACCAAGCCTCAGCTCTGCTGGGAAAATCTTCTGAGGGGACACACCTGACCAGCCAGCCAGTCTGCACTAAAAGCACCAAAACTGTTTCCAGTATGAAACAAAGAAGAAACAGATCTGCACCTCAAACTGGCTGAGGTGGGGCAAAAGGGGAGCATTGGTTACTTAGCCTACCATTGATGTGAAAATATAGGTACTTCACATTGAAAATCTGACTGGTCTTTCATATTAAAAAAAACCCCAACAACAAAAAAAGCAACAAACTCTACCTAGTCAGTAGAAATTTTAGTTTGTCTTATTAAAACATGGATAGGATATAAACACTGTATACCACAAAGAAACATAACCAGCACTTGAAATCAGTAGCTAAGCATGTAATGGAAATTCCAATGATCTTGCCCAGACCTTAGGACAATTCTGTTCATTTAGTTCTTCTAGGAAAAGATAAAGTTACAAGGGGAAAGAAAAAAGCCAGAGTGCATATCACACCCTGTGATGCACGGTCAGGTAGTCTTCCAAATGTCACAATAACCAACTCTGTGACAGGTAATAGAAGTTTCCAAGAAAATGTCCTGGCTAAAGCAAAAAGTCTGGCATACATTTTCACAAAGGACCACAAAAGGGGAGTAAAATGGAAGAACTCTACACTCCTATTTTCCCCAAGAGCTTTTAAGAGCTGTTCAGGAAACTAAGATGCCAGAAATGAAGAAAAATGCAGCAAGCATTATATGTCTGTATCATTTTTCAATGCCTAAGCACCATCTCTAACCATAAGTATTGTAGTCCAAGTCACAGACATCATCTAACTGTCATAATCATGCCTACACCGAACTTAAATAAAATCCACATGAAAGCAAGGATCTGCCTGCACAGCTCAACTTCAGGGACAATGCCAAAAGTGGTTAAAACTTGTATTAAAAGCACAGCAAGTTGTCCATCCTCTACCTGGAAAGCATTTCTGTAAGTTGCACGAAGCCAGCATATGCCAACTCAAATGCACCCCTGTGCCTTGATTGCAGCAGATGATGTTTAAAGTAATCACCAATATTTTTAACCTAAAAGAGAAAGAAAAAATTACTAAGCCATTTGGAATTACATATACATAATTTATTTATAGATGCAAAATATTTTGCAGTTCAAAGCAACAATCCTCCCCCTGGTTGAAAGGGCCACTGGTACAAGCAAAAAGCAACTAGAAGTACTATAATAAACATCCACTTACTTTAATGATAACAAATATTATACTTATTTATTTAGGGGTAGCTCTGTGTTCTTTCAAAAAGTCCAAAAATATAAAGGACATGAAATTGGGTATTTGTCTGTGATGGACATACTCAGATTTTAAGAGAAGAAAGGGACAACTCTGATTTTCAGGGGCAACAAATGCAGATTCCTTGTTTGCTACACTCTTGCCAAAACCACCAAAGAAAATGTAAACTAAAGCACAACAGCAGAAAAAAATCTTAAACTATTTCAGATATGAAATTCAAATTCCAGAAACTGGACCGAAGGGAAACAAATCTACATTAGATTAGATAATACATATATTAATAAAAATTTCTAACATTCCAGAACTCTGCATAATTGCTGTTGATCATTAGAAACAATATTAAAATGAAGATGATGTTGGAATGTGAGCTATTTTTAAAAGCATTAAAATTGTAAATGTGATACCTCAACTTTCACTTATAGTTTATTTTCTAGAACTCTATTACAACACAAAGTTTTTAAATCTGTTTGGAAGTTTACAGATCCACACAATCTCATTCCACAAAGGATAAATTGTCTTGTTTGTTGGGTCTTTTCTTTTAATTCTCATCAACTTTTACGATCTAAATCCAACTTCCCACTTAATTTGTTTACAATGCATTGCACATACTTAATGGCCTTATGCAAAATTTACTTCAGGAGTTTTTCCTAGAAGTTCTCCAGTAAAAGTTTCTTTAAACCTTTTATATGAAAATATGCATAAAGTCACATCTAGTTGCTTATAAAATTCTGCTTGTTCTGTTACTTATACAATTGCTCTAATACTTTAATAGCCTGACAAGTAATTAAGTTGTCAGGGAAGTTAATGTCCTATCTACCTTTATGGTTTTTCAGCCTCTGTTAACTAATTTGCATCACCCAAGCAATGAGATGGCATTAATTAAAAAAAACAAATCTGAGACCATCTACATATTATTTCCTGCAGCTAAAACTTATCTAATGTGAAACACACAATAACTGGAGATAGGGAGATATCTAAAAAAGTTATTTCTGAGTAGATTTTAAGGTAGCTTATGTAGCCACAGGGTTTCATTTCAGCTTTCTAGTCCAAAAAAGAGAAGTAAGTGCCCTTTATTCACAAGGAACTGACCCACAGACAGGGCAGTTCTCCAGGTGTCTAAACAAAACCAAATCAAGAAATCCATACACATGTAAATCAATTTACCAGCCTGTCCCAGCACCATGCTTATGCTTCTAGAATTCAAAGCAATTTTTTTGTTTTGGGGTCACATAACTTCCAACTTTACTATTTATACTTCTGAGTTTCTTGCAAAAGCCACACTGACTAGAAGCTTGCATGAGACTGAACTCAGAGACTAGAAGTAGCACTACCATAACTCAGTTCTTGGTCAGAAAATTAGAATATAACAGGTGAACCTTACTAATAAAACAACGTACAGGGCCAGACTTGCTGCTGAGGACAAGAATCTGGGTATTCAAGATATAAATTCTCTCCAAGGTGTTCCAAAAGATTATTACAGGCCATGGGACAACTCAGTCTTCACTTCTGCTGCCTGTTTCTTTTCACTGTGGCACACAGCTGTGGCAAGCTTATCTCCTAAAATTGTCTTAAAACTTCCCAGGTGAGATAAAGAGGAGTTTGAGGAAGTAGTAAATGTTCCTCCAGACTTGGAGCACTCATAATTTGCATGTCATATGGCAAAAAACCCACAGAATCTTTATTAGATGTCATTTTGGTGGTTACATGATACTATTTATATGGATTTCATTAACAGGCAGAGCTCTGAGCCTGCCATCACTGGACTTTCAGGATCAGATGGAAAATGAAAAGAATGCATTTGGATAGAGAGATTCCTCCAGCTCTATTCTGCACTTCCTATGTCTATTATTTCTGAAGGCAAGGCCACCATGTAAAGAAGCTTAATGAGCAAACTCAACACTCCCTGTGATCTTTGGGGTGAATAAATTATGGCAGCATTGATCCCTAAGGCACAATTCCATACAGTTACTGACCTAGCTGTGGAGCATGGTACAACAAGAGGAAGGTTTGCAACAGCCTGGCACATGCTGGCCAAGAGGTAATACCAGATTCTTCTCAACAATTACTTAGCCTGGCTCAAGGCAAATTGACCAAGGTTTCTCTCAAAGTTTTCCTTCTCTGTATTCTTAAATCTCTTTCAATAGTTCCAAAATTAAGCAAAAAGAATGGGCAACTTGAAAGAAAAGTTCTACATGCATAAGGCAACAAAATCCAACTTGCTTATTTGTCAGCACTGATAAGTGGTTAATAAGTCTGAAGCCCTAGCAGCTATGGTATTAACATTTTTTGTCATTTCTGATGAAACCTTCCTTTTTTTGTACAAAACACGGTAATGACCCAAAGTTACAAAAGAAAATGCCCAAAGTTACAGAGAAAATGCCCACAGTTTTCTTTGTGTATTTCCTTGCAAGCCTGAGGAAAATGAGGATTTCAAACTGACTTCTCATCCATTAGCATTCTTCTTCTGTTTTACAGGAATTATCTGAAGCATTAACAAGCTGAAGAGGTATCAATAGGAAAAGAAAGTATCTTTTCCTATTGATAGGAATCACAGAAAATCCTGAGCTGGAAAGGACCCAAAAGATCATGGAAGTCCAACTCCTTCCTTAATAATGTATTATTTCTGAAAGAGCACCTATCAAATGCTGCTTTCCAAAAACAGAGATGCTGCAGTCAGAACTGACTCATTTTAAAGCACCAATTCCTCTGTGACTTGGTGCAGATTAAGGAACATAATGGTGGAAATGCATATCTGTTCTCTCATCTGCCCTCCAGACCCCAGCAACAAAGCAAGCACAGCTGTTAACCAGATGAAAACATGAGCACTGGAGACAATGCAAGAATAAGGACACCAACACTATTTCCATGGCACCACAACATTAGATAAGAAATAAAATCTGGAGTACATAATTCTGTGTTTTATTTTATAATGTAGAGTTGTAACACCTATGGAAGAACTAAGTAACTGTTTTCTGTTGGAAAGAAAAAGAGGTTAAAAGGTATCTGGCCTTTCATATTTCAGTCTTCTACGCAAATTCATTTTGTTGAAACATATGTAAATGAAAAGGCCATCAATTAAAACAGAAATTCAATAAACACAAAATATTTCCCAAATAAATGCCTGTGGTAATCTAATTTCTTGAAAACACTGAACTCAACGTTCTGCAAGAGACCCAGATGCCATATTAACATTTCTGATCTCTCATATTAAAAAAAATCAGAGGAAAAAGATACAATCACACTACATACAAATTATTCATAACAGTGGATAGGAGGAAGACAAGACTAGGACTATTCAGCATGTTTGACTTTCAGAACCCTTGACTCTCATGCTAATTAAGGAAGAGCTTTAAGAAGAATCCCAATATGTAGAGCTCAAAATGAGACAAAAGAGACTTGGAATAGGAAGTCAGTTTAGAAGATTTTAGCAATTTGATTAGTGACTAATATATCCTGAGAGAGAGACAACAGGGAGGGTGGCAGGCAGGCATTGGTATCCCTAAACACATCACACATCTCATAAATAACCCAATACCATTAGAATGAATGAGTTTTTTAGTAATGCACAATAACTTCTTCATTTATCTGTTTTTACAGATACCACTGGACCAAAACAGGACTGATAACCAAGCATAGCAAAGAAAACCCTTACTATGGCAATTAAAAGAAATTTAAAATGTACTTTTCCCAAATAGAACACAGATTTAAGGAAAAAAAAATTCTGAAAACTGCCTTTGCCTCACCACCACCCAAGAAGAAACCGCAGGTTGTCTTATAAAAATTATTTCCCTACCTGTTCTACAGTAATCAACCCCTCTGAAGGTTCAGATGTAGTCTGTGAGGGCAAAAGTTTACACAGTGTCCCTAGGAGCAGAGATACTTCCTTCATGCTTCTCCAGCAGCAGACAAGAACCATTTGAGCTGTGACATCACACGCTTGCCTGTCTTTGCCTTAAAAACCAAAAGACAACAAATGCAATAGTGTAACTCAAGGTTCTCAGATGCAGGTGTAGAATTTAAACTTCACTTAGCCCGTCTTAAAAAACACAAGTAACTACGAAAAAATTTCTAAAGTTCCCTGCCCAAAAGATAATTTAATCTTGTTGAAACTAATTGCCGGCTCAACAGTTGCTTTATGTTCTTACACTTGGAAAAGGCAGTGGTATAAACATTTTACCAGAGAAGCGCTGTTTCAAAGAGTCACAACTGGTATTTACTCGCAGCCCGAGGCACAGAAGCAGGCACACCTCGCAGGCAGGCATTCATTGCCCATCCATGGCTCCCGGACGGCTCCGGGCGCCTCCCGAAGCCAGGCGCGTTTGTGACGCGCCGCCGCCACCTGGCGGCCACTGCGGCACCTGCACGCGTTTGCCCCTTCTCGTGAAAAACAAAACGTGCAGCCCCAAACATTTCCAACGTACGGAAAGCAGCCGGGGCAAGGAAGTTCAAAACTTGCATAAACTATTAAATTTTCAGTGTATGGATATTCTATAAATTTATTCTGGCCCACACTAAAGATGCCAAAGTTTACCATTTCTTTATTGCTGTAAGGTTCAGTTTCATAGCTGCTATTCATTAAAACAGACACATACTAACATTTTACCACTAGAATCTTTCGAGCTGAAGTTTCTGCTTATGTAATTTCATGCAGCAAGTTGTATTGCATGAACATAGCCTCGTTTACACTGGAGGGAAAAATCACAGTAATACTTCTCAACAAGAAATACATTACAAGCATTGCTTGATAGAAAAGGTGCTCAGGATTACCTGCCAGTGCACTTAAGGCAACAGAGCCTAGGCCAATATCAAAATAATTAATTTTCACTTGTGTCTTAAGAGAGATTAATCCCAGTCTTCCAGAAGTTAATTATTTTATTGTGGGGGTGTTCATAGGGGTCCCAGGACTGGGAAGAGATGAGAATCTGGCTCTGTGTTTCAGAAGGCTGGCTTATTATTTTATGATATATATATTATATTAAAAGTAGATGACATATTAAAACTATACTAAAAGAATAGAAGAAAGGATTTCATCAGAAGGCTAGCAAGGAGAGGAACAAGTATGGAGTGAATAACAAAAGCTTATGACTGACTGAGAGTCAGACAGCTGAACTGTGATTGCCCATTAATTAGAAACAACCACATGAGACCAATGACAGATGCACCTGCTGCATTCCACAGCAGCAGATAATTATTGCTTATATTTTGCTCCTGAGGCCTCTCAGCTTCTCAAGAGAAAAAATTCTAAGGAAAGGATTTTCCATAAAACATGTCTGTAACAGTTTCTAAAGCCAAGTCCATGGATAACTAGCTTCTGACAGGCAAGAACTAAAATGTTACACAAGCAAGTAATTTCCAACTGATCATCCACATAAAATGACTCCTCTATAAAAAATACCTTGATTTAATTACTTATATAGCCTTGGATTTACCTCTCATTTCCATGCAACTATTTTTCATCGGCCTCTGGTCAGCCAGCTTTTCAGATTCTTCTTTGCAGTGTTCTTTCAGAATTTTTGCTTGCATAAAATAATCGTTTGTGTCCTGTGGTTGTATCTCGTGCAGAATCATCTGCAGGCGATCTGCACTTTCTGCACATTAAACAAGAGGGATATTTAAGATAGGAGACAAAACTATTTCCATTTTTTATACTGATGTAATTCATTTTGGGTGCATAAGTACAGAAGAAAGCTATAAGCATTAAAAAAGAAAAACCACAAGGTTCTATGCTGATTAGAATGATCAAGGATAAAACACTGAATTTACAGCCCCTGTTTTGAAAGAGATGTAACAATGCATTCTACAAATTTTTGTCCGTTTTTTTAGGGAAGAAGTCAAGAAAACTTTATCAGAAATCAAAATAGTGACCAAAAATTATGACATAAAATGAGAAGCTGAAAGGGAGGGGTGCTCAGTCTAGTTCTGAATGACTGCAAGACAAAGAGACCTTCAGAAGCATCAGATTAGAAAATAATTGTTTTGGGATTCTGTTTGGTTCTTTACCTGGATCACTGTCCATGGGAATCAGACCCTCAGGTGATGAGCTCTGTACTACTGGTGATACCACAGCAGAGAGGCTGTATGACATCAGAATGAGCCTGGTCACTATTTCCTTCCATTCAGACACCAGGGTCAAGTTACTTAAAGAAAAAAGTCAAAATCACAACCAAAACATGGATTAAAAATAATTTTATATTTAAAAAAAAGAACCAAAATTACAAATACTTCTGCAACAATATTTATGAAAACTATGAGTAGGGTAGAGATTGAAAAGTCTTAAGGCTGAGTTTACCACATACAAAAGCAGTATCAAACAGTGCAGCAGCCAGCAAGAGTTCTAAAAGCCACAGGTACTGGATTTCCTTATAAATAATACTGCATGATTTTCTCTTCTCCTTAACAGCTCTTCCACTGCATTTAAACATGGAGCTACAGCTTTCCATTAAGTATGTTTTCCTTAAAATATGGAGTTCCAACTTATTTCGTGTGTTTTACTTACTTGAAGGGTAATTGCTGCAAAGCCCCATTTATACAGTGCACTCTCCCATACATGGGGAAGGATGCTGCTGCTTGAAGCAGAGACTTCTTGGCTTGGAATATTTCTTCTTCAACGTTCACCAACAAAAGCTTGATAACTAAAATATTTTAAAGCACAGATTTACACTGAACATTCATATACTGATTTTCTAAGAAATAAGTCTGCTTTAAGGCTTTTAAGGAATAAAACCTGTGTACACAACAATTCAGTGGAATATAAACAGCAATTTCCTTTATTATACACATCCCTCTTGTCACTGAAATATGTTACCATTGATTTTCAGTTACCTAAATTCCAGCAATATTTGTTATAGTCAATTTAATCTATCTCTCTGAACCAAAGAGCAGCTGTGAAAAGCACAGCCCACATCCTACCCTCAGGGAAAATCCCACAGCTCATGATGAAGTCACAAGGAATTACCTACTCCATACCGCAAAGTCAGACTTCACACCCTTACAGCCACAATAATACAATGATGAGTACAGCAGAGTATTAAAGATTGAAAGTTCACAATTATACATTTGAACTTGGTTTTCCACTAAGCAACCTGACCCATTTAAGGACACGCGTCTATTTTAATTCTGTTTATAGCTTGTGACATCTCAGTGCCAGAATCAGAACAAATTGCAGATCCTAATGAGGAACCATGGATCACCACCAGCAGCAAATGCAATGAGACATGAGGTTACCCACACATTTCCTTCACTTATGGCCACCACAACCATGTCTCAAAATTGTTATTTCACTGCATGACAAGAAAGGATTAACAGGCATCTGTAGAGAAGCCAAGAATGGCACAAAAAAGTATCAAAAATGAGATCACTGTAAATTACATAAAATGTTTTACCACAAATAATGAACTTAAGTATTTTAATTTCACTGAAGATTACTTTAAGTGGAGAAAGCTTGGTGAACAAATTTGGCAAACCTGCCAGATCTAGAGCCCTGTCATCTTTCATCCAGGGACACTAAACCAAAGAAAATTACTCTGTATGTCAAGAAAGCTTCATTACTGTGGGTGTGTATTCACAAATCACACAGAAAAATGGGGCCAGGTGAACAGAGCTCCAAGGGGCAGGGCTGCAAACATCAAGTACTGAAACACAGACTAACTAAGCTGCCTTCCCCAGGGTGAGTGAGCTCTCAGAGGAAGCAGAGGGCTCTTCCCTGCACTTTATGCACTCAGCTTCACCAGGCTCACTGCCTGGGCCTCCACAGCACTTTCAAATGTCACTGCTCAAAGTAATGACAAAAGCCACCTTATAGAATATTCAACAGCCTCAACACCAACAGGACTAGATGGAGATGTTACTGAAGAACATGGCTTCTTAACAGCAAAATACAATATACTTAAAATCCTGTTAGAAATAAGCATCTCTTACTAACCCTCCCACCAAAAGCCTTATTGAAAAGCAGCAAACTTTTAACAAATCGAAAAAAACCTTTCCCCCAAAATCTTACCTGCCAAAGTGTTCTTCTCTACTGTACTCACTGATGTGTTCTCATCCAGCTGGGAGTTATGCTTAAGCTGTTTTCCTAAACAAATGTGCTGCAGTCCTTTGTGATACACCAAAAAGTTCAACAAATATGAAGCAGTGACACAATCATACGGCTTGGTGCTTGTGCTAAGATCAATTGCTGCTTGGAACAGAAGATCTAGATTTTCAGAACCCTGAAAAGAAACCAAATCAGTCATATTGCTCATTTAATTGAGCTTCCAGATTGATTTAATTAAGCTTCTTACAACCCTGGAATCTGATAACCTGCTTTTAATTAAGTTTGCTGGTACATATTTCTTGAGAAACACTTGTTTTGTACACTGATGACCTTACACTCAAAACATGCATGTGCATGTATTTAGCAAGGATACAATTACATAGACATTGAGGATGGGGACAGCCATTTATAAAGCAGTGCTCAATTACACTGCACCTCACAGGAAATCTCTTTTTTCAAGTTAATGTGTTTTATCTGCTAATGGACATTAAAGAGAAGCACAATTTACTTGGTAGCAGCATTTGTTCATCTGTACTAATGAATTTTAAAATAAATTTTCATCAAGTTATTACAGACAGATCAGTATCAATTCAAAGGGCAAAATTTGTCAGAAATCAATAAAACCAATCAGACAATGAAACCTGAGATCAATTAGAAAGCAAAGGAAACAGGGAGCTGCATTTCCTAAAAGTACAAGAGAAACCAAGTTAAAATGCCCCAATCATTTAGAAAGATAAGTCACAACTAAGCCAAGGGCTTGCATTAACTATTCTTCTGACAGTTCACAGTCATACCCAAAGAACTTCCCAAACTCCTCCATCCATTGGTGAAACAAGCCTCCATAGGCAAGGGCAGAAGCTGTGTAACATTATACAGAAGGTGTTAGTGATGAACACTGCTGCAGCCAACCTGGACTGGCTTCTAAGGCTCAGGATTCCTGCTCTGTACCCAACACAAGCACCTGGTGTACTACACAACATCCATCTTCCACAAAATTACTCCCTCTAAACTCTTTAAGTTCATACCTGTAAATTCAATGCAACATCACGTAGCTTCATCAGAAGTCTAAATGCCAGAATTTTTACTTCCTCAAAAGTACTGGCAAAACACTGGATCAGAGTCTGGACACGAGCAGAATCCATCTCCTGATCCAGCTGGAAAACTTGTGCCTGGCCTGTTCAAAGAAATGAAAGCCTTAGATAGCTATGCTCTAACTCTTTCCAGAATAAGCACTCTCCTCACATTCTGCTTTGCTATACTAAAACAAGCCTTAAATTTTAGCCAAATTATTATTTTAATATTATTTCTCTTAAGAGGTTTTAAAACACCATATTTAACATTGTTAGGAATAAAAGAAGCCTTACCTTATTTCAAAAAATTACTCTTAGTAATACAGAAAATAACTTGTTGCCAAAAACAGAATCCCGTTTACTCCCTTTAAATTTAGCATTGAAAAAATCTTTATTTAGTTTTGCTTAAAAACTCTTTTCCTGTAAGTATGTAATATTAGAAAATAATTCCTTTCAATAAAGTGGTTGAAAGCTTCAGTGTATTTTGGCACTTGGTGTTTTGAGTTATTTTGTCATAGGAATAATCCCTTAAAATGTAAGCCATTACAATTTCTTCTGGTTTTAATTTAGATATAAATGAGTTGTGAATTCTGGTGATTCGACCTAATGCTGTAAAGAAGGCAGAAATTTTAGGATGTAAACAACTGCACCATAATACAGCACAGAATACAACAGGTAAATTGCCTTTATAGAAATAATGTCCAATTTACAAAATCCTCAGCTGCTATTATAAACAACTGAGGATAACTTTCTGGTTTAAAAAAAACCAGCAATAATATATTACATATAATAATAACATTGTGTTCATTTATCGAGTGGTTTTGAGAAATTATTTAGCAAGATGGCAATTTTATTCCCTCTCAAAATCAACTTTAATATTAGACAACTAATTTCTTTAAAGAAAAGGTTACAATTTAGGACTGAAACATTTTTATGTTGACCGTGTGATCCAGAGACAAGATTCAGCAAGATTATCAATACTCCAAAGCTCTAAATACTTATTTAGATTGCCATGAAATCATGAAGAAAATTTAAAATAACACCAGCAGATCATCATTAACTGGATAATAAATCTGTCTTTTATTTAGCATAGTATCATGAGGATATGCAATAGTTTTTCAATCAAGAGGTTTTACTCAAATGAGCATTTCAAGCTATCAAGATATATGTGCAGGAAAAAGGAGAGAAGTTACCAAATACATTGACACTTGTCCAGACATTTTCCTCATAATAAAAAATAAGCCTTCCTAAAAAGCAAGCTATGCAATAAAATCCAAATTTATAAAAGACATGCAACAGGCAATTATTAGCAATTACTTCAATATTTCTTTTTCCATAAAAACTTACTATCCTCCCTTGATATAAAACAAAGACAATTCAGGAAATGCCATAGAAATAAAGGACTAAGAATATCCTTTGATGGAATCTGACTAGCTGGCATAAAAGAATTCTTCAATACCTTCCATTCCTACAGTCTATTAAAGTTTATAAATTAGACTTCTTACCTTTTGGAACAGAAAATATTTCTGCTATTGATTCCAAAATACTCAGTGCACAAAACCTGGTTGGGTGTGATGAACCAGGAAACAATACCTCAAAAAGTCTGGCACATACAGATGACATGAAATCCTGGGGGAAAAAAATTGCAGGAAAAAAATTAAGACTTTACTTGCTGGCCTACAAAGAAAAGCCTAAGTAACTGAACTCAGGACATTCTGCTTTACCCCAAAAAGTATGACCTTACAGTTAATTTTGGAAAAACAGGAGGCCAACATTCACAGTGCAGACTTTCTTGTTTCTCAGAGTACAGTGAAGGCTGGACAATGATTTGGGTTTCTAAATACAACAGTTTCCTTTCCTCAGGCCCACAAAAAGACAGTCATTGGATCTAATCCTGAAAATTAGCTGACCAAGAAAAGCAGAACTCAAGGAACAGACTGGCACAAAGATACTGATGATGTGAGCCTTTAAATAGGATAAAAAGGACAAATACAAAAGAAGTCTTCATGCTAAAGCTCTTGTCATTCATTCTCTCACTCACTGATTATTCTGGAGACCTAGAAAAAGACTGAAGTTCAACTGATCTCTATTTTAATCCCAATAACACACATCATTTAAAGCTCACTACTAAATGGCCAACAGGACAGGACATTCGCCCAAATTTTTTTTTTTTTTTTTTTTGGATTGAGGGTCCATCTCCAGGCGCTCCTCACTTACTGCTGTTTTAATGCACATCACAGCAATCCCTCATTACCTTTATTGGTTTCAAACCAAATTTACCTTAAAGGCCCCCTCCAAATATCAATGGGCATTCAGTTCATCAACAACAGCCTATTTAGTCAAAATAAACTTGCACAAGAGCATCAGTGTGGACAAGCTCCCCAGTACTGTTTGATTTCATAGGGTTTTTTATTTCTGCACTGAACTATTGCCTAACACACAGAGTGCCTAACTTACCCAGTGGTGTTCAGGAACAAAGAACCCTCAGAAATGCTATTCCCCTGCTCTATTATCTGAATCTCTAGCAGTCTACTTACTTTGTATTGCTGCAAAATCCTCAAAGGAGGCATTTTAGTTGACTTCTCAACTAACTCTTGCTTGGTTTTATTTTGCTCCAATTTATAAAGCACTTGAGAACTTTCTTGTATCCTGCAAAATAACTTTTAAAACAAAAGAAAACAGGTGAGACAAGAATCATTGACATTGAAATCAGGGAAAGGTAGATTTTCAGCTTATTTTCCAAATCACACTGCTTATAATTTTTAGGAAGTTTGCACACAGCATAACACAGAACAGATCCTTCTCTCTCCACTCCAAATCCAAGGTTTTGCTTCCCACCTCTCTTGTGACGAATTTCCTCTACACCTCCAAAACCTTCTTCCATCTCCCTCCTTAAATTCATGCCAAGCCTTCTCCTCCTGCCTCATTTTCTGTGGAATTGAATTCATCTATAAAAACACTCAATGCAGATAATTTCTACCGCCTCAGTGTCCCTTAGAGTTTGACTCACTTCAGAAGTGCTTTCTCCACCTCTTTAGTGCCCATAAGTAGTATTTCCTTTCTTATCACACACCCATCTAGCACAACTTTTCCATCTCATGCTCCTCAGTCTGCACCAGGTAAGAAAGGAAAGAGATGGGATTTCTCTTTTGGTTTTGCCAAACTGACTCCCTCATTTTTCTCCCTTCTCAAATTAATTATTTTCTCCTTCCACACTGCCTTCCTTTGCCATAAACATCTTCCAAGATGTTCCAATGCTCTTTATACATACATGGTTCTTCATTTTATCCCCATCCTTCTACCATGAGCTACATGTGACCTTGACAGCTTCCACCAAACGGAGAGACTCATTCCCTGCAGACTGTAATGGCACAATCACATCATAGTGAATATTCTTCTACTTTGTTTTCCAGGTCAGGTTTCTGAGGGTGATGAAGTGACTGAATTTGCCTGAGGTGTGACAAGTCCATGGAAGCACAGCTTTAGGCCCCAGCAAAGGCAACACAAGGCTCACTGCTGACTCCAGGGCACATTGCTTTGCTATTGGCAAAGTGTGCAGGGGCTGGCAGGTCAAGCAACACCACCATCACCCATGAAGTCACCCTGCCTCTGCCACTTAATATTTTCTTTAAGCCATCCTTGCCTGTGATGACTTAACATCATTCAGTTGGGTAATACATAAAGCATAAAGCATACTCCTGGCCTCAGAGCTTCTACTCTTTCCAAGAGCAACTTTGTAACATACTCATTATTTCCTTTAAAATGGAGTTATAACTAACATAGGAGGCACGTTAGACATTGCTCCTAGTTTGAAATTACCTTTCTCAGCAGAGAAATGATCTGTTGCCTTACAGAAGGAGATTGGTTATTCAAGTTGTACAGCATAAAAAACTGAATTAGTTGCATTTCTTCCAGAGACACAATTTCTGTAGTACGATGGGTTTCACAGAGCAAACCTAAAGCATCAATGCAAACCTGAAAGATATTTAAAAGTTCAGCACAAAAGAGTTACTGACACCTATGATGACACCTTTGCTTTAATACAACACTACCACAGTAATCAGTATCAAAGCAATTATTCTAATTTAAAGGATACATAAATGGCTGTCCCTTTACCTGGCTGTGCTGATGAACCAGACCCTGTTTTATACACTCAGTGGATACAAGACCACTGCTCATAATATTTGAAAGTTCCAGATGTCCATGGGCCCTGGCTGTTCTCAAGCAGGCCATCAATGCTCCAAGAGCTCCTCTAGTACTGCAAGAGCCTAAAGAAAATGAAAACCAGTAATAATTACTGTTTGATTAATAGAAGCAATGTACTATTTGCAGTGCTCATCAGAAATCCCAATATTTTCAACACATGGACACACCCCCTTTTATTTCTACTCCATAAATCCCAAAAGATTGTGCTGCTATAGATTAAACTAGTTCTAAAGCCCAAAAAATTTCATTACAAATGTGTCATATGACAAAAAGACCTTGTGAGGTCTCACATGCCATTATTTTAGAGTCCACTAAATTACTCCAAAACAAGAGAATCATAAATCTCGCATTCACATATTTACAAGAAAAAAAAACATCTGTTACTGGACACACCTGCTTAAAAAAGAAAAACAGTAGTAGAAAATACATAACCCTAACAAACCCTGGTAATGAGAACCATAAGGTACCCACAGAAGGATTTTGCACATGGCACAAAGACACACTTATAATTATCATGACTTTCACCTTGAAATACTAATAGCAATAATAAACAACTGGAATTTTTCTTCCAAATTAATTCTAACAATAATAATAGACCAGAAATCACATGGTTATGATTTTTTTTAATCCAATCATAATTACAAATACAAAGTTTATTTTCTTACCCAGATTAGCATCTGCAGAGGCCTGAAGAATTCTTATCATGTAGCTCAGACTGTCAGGGTTACATTTGAGCAATTTTGGTAAATAGTAATCTATTATGTAAGTCGTTTGGTCATGGTTCCCTTCACACAGTATTACCAGAAGAGGAGAAACCCAGATGTTGTGCCACTGGTCAATCCAGGTGCCCTTGTGAAAACTCAAAGTAAAATGGGCCTTGTGATTTGTAAACATGGTTTCCAGAAGATCACTGGCATAAGGGGCAAGAGATTGATCACTCATCACATCCAGGATCCGCACTGGAATTGCCCTGTCCAACTGCAGTATATTTTCAGTGCCCACACATTCCACCAGAGAGCCAAGAGAAGTATATTTCCCTTTTACATGCCAATCCAAGCTCAGTAAATGCTTTATCAGCCTTGCAAAGAATGGGTCTGATTTTCCATTGGATCCAGCAATGGTGGTTTGGTGTATCTGAAGAAGATTCTTGAAAATCAATTTGGTTTGGTGTCTGATGGCATCCAGAGGGTGGTCCCAGTGTGTATAAATGTATTCCAGCAGCTTCCCAATTATATCAGAGCTCCCATTAAGTTTGAGTTTTAGATCTGGAGAGCCTGAAACAAGGGCAGCCAGTGCTGAATTAGTCCAAATAACAAGAATTCTAGACAAAGATGTTGCCACACTGGGTTCTTTTAACCTTTTAAAAAGAACAAACAAAAAAATTTCATTACCTTAATTTATCAATATTTTAAAAAAATACATTTTGTATTTCAGAATAACTATTCATCACATTCATTTACCTTACACAAAAACAGATTAGGAGACTCAACCCATTCATGGAGGAAAAGGAATGAACACAGAAGTGATCGACTGGATGTTGCCAGTACATGCTTAGTTACCTGATGTGCTATTAAGTGGTTGCAGCTAAACCCCCTAACAATGGGGAAAAGAAACCACACAAGCTCCACAACAATAAAACAAAAAAAATTAGTGTGCACCTGCTAACATTTGAGCAGCATTCTGATGTTGCATGCTTCTTGAAAATGTAAGGAAAAAATTTCACTGCTATATAAAACCATCAGAATTGAGAATCCTATGTGCAAAAACAAGATCACAAAACTGATCTCCAAGGCACAATCAAAGACTGAACTGAATGCACATTTTAATCTCCAATCCAATAGTGCCGGTGGGCCCTTAGATGCAAACAGCCAGGAAAAAAAAACCAACTAAAACTCATATGGCTTCAAGTATTCCACACACTGGCACACTTTGCTTTCCTCTGAACTTTCAGCAGGAGAGGACGTGATGTCCTGAAACTGAAATTTATCTGTCTACATAAGAACTGATCCTGACACACCTTAACCATAAGGGAATTGATAAATTTATCCCATTCATGTCAGAAAACAAAATTTTAGCGTGCAAGAAAAACTGAAACTTAGAACTACACATGCAACATCAATATATTTTTTTCAAATTTACAAAGCTTTTATGAATATATTATAAAGATGGTCTTTTTGAAAGAACCTATTATCATTACACTGAAAACAGAGATATTCCACCAGCACCACAGGAGTCATGCAAAAATAGAATTAGAAAACATGAAACAACACAGAACACAAACTTACTCTGAACTCAATGACAGCAAGACGGATGCAATATCTAACAACAGCTTCTCTCCATTTTCACCCATGCTGCCGTTTTTCCAATCCAGCATAGCCAGAGCTCCGTGGCAAAGGAAGAGCAGCACCGAGCCCGGGAGCTGTGGCGTGCACAGAACCCCACAGCTCCTCAGGAACCACGCTGGCACACCTGAGTGTTCCACTGCCCCACGCAGCAAGCCACTGATCTGCAACACCAAAACACACCCATCACAGCACCTCAGCACAGCACAGAACCTCTTTTGGGCATAGCTTAGAAGATCTGAAGGGATTACTTGTAAATAGTGTGTTTGTCAAATTCCAAGCCCAAGTCTTACTACTTCATATAGCAAGGAGAGAAGAAAGGATTATACTCCAGCTGAGGACTGATAGAAAGGCTGGCAAGCCCTGCATTAGCAAAGCCTCCAGACAACAGTGACAGCACAGGGTAACAACACCATGATACTGCACAGTCTTCAGCCAAGAAATACACTTACCAATGAAGGTAATTCCTCAACTGGCTCATACATAGCTCTGGTGAAGAGAACAACAGCCAGGCCTGAGGTAGTCTGAACAGTCTGCAGGAGCGTTGCTACACAGCAGAGATACTGTACATTAGAATGCAGCAAACACTGAGTGCTAGAACTGCAGGGCAATATTATAAAGTACGGCATTGAATTTTGCTAGGCTACTTGTAGTTAGTTGTGTCATCACAAATCTGCAGTGCCCACTTGGATAGTAAATATTAATAACTTGATCCTCCAGTGTAATAAGAAATTGCTAATATCTTTAACAGAAGAAAACACAGGACTGCCCACTAAGGCAAGGAGGGCTGTGGCAGAGACTACTGACATGTTAAACTCTACTACATAAAAACATCTGTATGCTTTAGAAAAGAAAAAACTATTAGTTATGGTGTGCCCATAAATAGTTCTGACAGCATATTTCATGGAGGTGTAGATATTTCTGGTAGGCAAAGACATTTGGTGACTCTCAAAAGCATTTCTGTTAGTTTTTGAATTATTAATAACAGCATTAATCTTTGTAGTGGGACAAGTTAAACTGTACACTCTAAAACTGCCACCTACAAATCATAGCTCACCAAAAAAAACAACTACTGCTCACATTCACATTGATCTCAGTAGTTCAATTTCCATGCAAACTAAACTAAGTCTTTATACCTACAGGTTACTTACTACAAAGACAACAGGTTAATTAAAATATTAGGGGTTTAATGTTATTACACTTACCATCCATTAGGAAGTTGGTGCAACTTTTCAGTAAACTGCACATACTTTGCCAAACAAAAGATTCACTATCTTTCCAAAGACTTCCCTGGATATTTTCTTGCAATTTCTGTATAAGCATCATTGAAACTTTAATGGCTATCAGTAAATCGTGCATCAGCTGAGTCTGAACAATACAATTTCCATGATTCTTTCTGTGGAAAAAAAAAAAAAGATGAGCAAGCACACAAAAAACAAATTAAAACCATTCTTCACCATCCCCAGAGAACCACATTCTGCCAACTTAGATAGGATTAATGGTGAAAACTAATGTATTGCTTGAGTTGATCAATATGTAACTACAGGAAAACAAGGAGCAGACTCAAGGGTAGTTTGTTAAAATGAAGTTAACAAATGAAAATGACAAATTGTGCTACATTTTCTACAGGTTCCTGCGACAAACTTTCATTCATGTTATTCTGCCTGAGCAGAACTGAACTTCACCAGAAGCTTTCCAAAAAGGCCAACATAATGCAGTGCTGCTCTTTTCTAATTTTTCAAGTAATTCCTCCATGTATGAAGGACATCTCTATGATGTGACATTCTTCTAACATGAAGGTAGAAAGTATCTAATCTTTCAGTGTACAAAGCACTTCCTTAAGTGCCCCTCTCCTCCCAGTTCAGAATGAGAGACCACAATGAAGCTGCTTCACTTAATGAAATGCTGGAAAATGTCAAGTATATCAATACTGAATTAAACACTCATAGAATATGAAAGAGTTTTACTCTACCAGAATTTTACATTTATTAATTACACTCTTTAGCCACAATTCAGATAGCAAAACCTTAACTCAAAGGCCTCCCTTAGTAGTAGTTCTAACAGTATCAGTGCCTTACCTCTATTACATTATCATATTGCCACAAAATAAAAGAATCAATCAGTTTTTATTTAAAATCTGCACCATTGTAAAATAATATTTCTATCTTTCATCAATGTATGGCTACCAAAGTGATATTTTAAACCAAACCAAATTATCTTGCAAGGGTGAAATAAAACCAGATAAAATAGAGCTGCTATTGAATTCACTTGCCTGTTTTCTTCCTGTATGTCAAGCAGCAACTTCTGCAGAAACTGAAGAACTAGTGAAAATAATTATGGTATAAATTTACTTACAAGAGAAATAGAACAGAAAATTCCCAGCAAAGCCACCACACATACATCTCAATACATCACACATACCCAGCTGCAATGAACAGTTACTCATACAGTGGTGATTCTTGCATTCCACCAACAAATTAAACTGGTATTTCAGTACAGACAAACACAAGCAATGCTAAAACAAAATCTCAAACTGTTTTGCAACAACCTGGTGCAAAACAAGTTTCCAACCCCCTTGGCCTAATCTGTGAGATATTGACTCTCCCTACCACAATTGCTCACTGCTACTCAGATTTGTATCAGGGTTGCCCAGTAAAGCAAAACTGACCCCTGGAAATTAAAGGTATGAATCAGTCTTGTCTTTCACAAAAAAGTACCATGTAAGGGTACTAGTTTTTTGAAAATTAGCCAGGAGGAAATCAGATCTGATAGATCTTCATGCCTGCTTCATGTCACTCTTCTCCACACACATCCCTCCCACAGTAACATGCAGTGAAGCATATTTTACTATAAATGTGACTTTACCTTCTTCAAACAGGTTCTTAATACAGGCTCTACCTAGAGGAAAGAAAATACATTTTAAGTGCTGAGTACTAGCCAGCACTATCTATTTTACATAACTGCCAACATCACTATCAGGTGTGGCCCCAGTGCTGAGCAAGTTTAACCAGAGGAACATTGGATGTCAGTGCACCTAAGCTGAAGTCCTCCATACAGGAAGCAAGGTTGTCCAGCACTTTTCTGTACAAATACACATCTGTGGCTTTCAGCTCTTCCCGAAGGCAGCACACAAAGCTTTGCACAGCTGGCACCATCAGATGTCCAGGAAGACCGTTCAGTGAACTGCAACATGAAGAAACAGCACATTTAGCTTGGTTTTCCTGAGGTGTTGGAACATCCACTGCACCAAAATCCATGTCAGCTAAAACTCCAATACACATTATTGTATCCTGCATGAAAACATCATCTGTTTTAAAATTAACATGCACATTCTCAGTTTGCAGCTAGAAAACCTGTCAGAGGGGTGCACAGCTTGGGGATGGCTGCCACCAAATCCAGGATGGAAGCCCTGCATCTCAGTGGGACAGGGAATGTTTTCAGACAAAGAAAGGAAGGCAGCTCAGCACCAGATCTTAAAAAATACTGAGGCTATTAAAAAATTCCTTAAAGAAATACAGCAATAATTGTGCAATAAAAAAATATAATTGCAATAAAAATATGCACAAGAAACCACAATTTAGTTAGGATTCCTCTGAACCGCCTTCTGTTGACAAAGCTGGGATTTTGTGTTTAAAATTTCTATTCTAACATTGTATTTTAAAGTTCAAACTGCTAATTACACACTATGTTGTCTTTCCAATAATGAAATGGGCCAAAACAATGCTTCACTTTGAAGTTATCCAATGATATGTTACTTATAATTAAGATTTTTAACTTAGAAAGAAAAACTGTACATATGCACATATTAAGTACTGTAAATTTTCATAATTAAGTTACAGCAATTTATAGTGAATTACAAATTACTGACTTAGAGATAAGGAAAACATTAAAAAAAATGAAGGCTAACTACTCAATCTTTTACCTTGCCAATACTTTCTTCAAAGGATTCTTTGCACCCAGTGAAAAATATGTTTCCCCCAAAACATCCAAACAAGCTTTAACCATGGGATCACCTGCAGAACTCTGATCCATCTGCTTCACCAGTGGCATAATCTGTAATCAAAAGAACACATGATGAACAAAAAACTCTGGATATATCATTTTCAACAGTGGCAGATTTCCCTCTCATCCAAGCATATGGCACAAAACTGTCTCCCTCTTTACCATTCCCCTTTGAGTTTCAAGTTCAAATAATGTTCTAAGAACACCTCTAAAAACAAAAAAAATCCATACAAAATAGAAAACTTGGTGTCACTTGCCTTGCACCATTTTCAGTTACTGTGGCCCTTGCTAATTAAGTACTAGAACTGCATTTCTACCTGATGCATGTGCAGCTGCTTTTCCTGTGTTTCCAGGGATGTAGAAAACATCAGGAGTTTATTTTAGAGCTGTATTTGCTGTTAACAGTGCACAGGAGACACTCTCAGTTACAAAAACCACACTAACAACAGTGAAACTGTACCTGTTTAATGCACTGGATCTGCTGGATGCCATTTCTCAGCTCTGCACAGTGCACAAGCAGAGATGCCAGATTTTGCTCTTCGGCCTTTGAAAACCCTACATTTGGAAGAAGAGGATCTTTTTATAAAGTAATTACAACAAGCAGTATAAATAACACATCATTTATAAGAAGAAGAAATGACTGCTTGATTCTTAGGTTTTTTCCCAGTTCCAGTAAAACCCATTGGTGCCACAAATCCTTAAGTCTCCTAACACCTTAACACTCTTTTTTTCCCCTAACAAATGTAAAATATCAGTTTCACTGGAACACAATAGTAAGGGACCTCTGGGAGTCACCTGGTCCAAGCCCACTGCTTAAATATGTTCACCTGGAGCTGGCTGCCCAGGACCATGGCCAGGTGGCTTTGGAATACCTCCAAGGCTGGAGACTCCCCAACCTCCCTATTGAAGCTGTGCCTGTCCTCAGTCACCCTCACATTAATAAAGTGTTTCCCTTCACATTAAAATAGATGTTTAGAGGGGATCTTTAGTGCTTCAGTTTGTGCCCATGCCTTCCTGTCAGTATTTAGCACAGAAGAAATGCTGGCTCTGCCTCCCACATGCCCTCCCTTCAGGTATTTTTTACACATTGCTAAGATCCCCCTGAGCCTTCTCTTCACCAGGCCAAAGAGTCCCAGGCCCTTCAACATCTTAGCTCTTAGCTGCAATCTCTCCATATTATTCTTGTACTGGGGAGCCAAGAACTGGATCAGCAATCCAGGTGGGACCTCACCAGTGCTCCCTCATAATAACTTTAGTTTATAAATCTTGTATTACTTCATTTTCAGGTTTTTTTTTTAAACAGTAAACATCACTGGAAGCCTCCCTCATCAAATACAAAAAAGTCCCCACAAAAGAAAATACCATTTGAACAGCAGCTTTAAAACAAATTAACTACAGAAAACACAAAGAGTGGAAAAGTGACCTCCAGAGAACTCTTCCAACCTCAATCATTTTGTGACTCTTGGAAATTCAGTGTTATCCCACATATTAAGCTAACCCATCAGGTATCACTGAATTACAGGCCTGCAAGTAGGATTAAAAATAAGACCTTCTACTACCCCCACACCACAGAAAAAACAAAGTAAAGAGTTTTCAAATCAAAGCCACAATGCTCTAAAGGATTTTTTTGACTCTGCCAAGGTAAGAAGTCATTGTCATTACACAACAAAAACAAACCACAGACAAGCAAACACACCTAAAACTCACAAAACAAAACCATTAGAAATAAAACATAACAAGCAAAAAAACAGATCAATTTCAGTAACTACTCAAAGGCAAGAGAAAGCACATATTAGTTCAGAAAAAAACACCATACTTACTCTGAAGTTTTTCAAGCTGATGGTGATCAAGAAAGAATGCATCCACCTGAATTTCCTTCTTCTTCTTTAAAACCATTTTAGCTGATTTAGAAATGCCTGCTTAAAAAACAAACAAAACAAAAAATCAAAACAACAGGTCACATGGTTTTAAAAACATAATTACAAACATTTCCTACAATAATGGTCTTTTCATTGTCCTACTGTCTTGAAATGTTTGTTGCATTATCAGTGCAATTTTTCTCCAGGAAATAGCTCTCTTTGATTATAACAACTTCAGCTATTTCCAGCATTTCATCCAAATTCACCCAAACTTCACTGTGCAAAATGGAAGCAATAGAAAAGGAGAATTGCTGTACACATGACATACTGTCTCACTGAGATTTCATTGCACTTGTTGTTACATCGTTTGTGGCATGACCCTGGATCACCGCTTGGAAACATCATACAGAGACAAGGAATTAATGCCACAAAACTTCCCTTGCTCAGTTTTGCTGTTCAAAACTCATTCAGCTTGTAATAACATCAGGTAAGAACAGTGCAGCAAACCGAACAGCTCTGCTATTATGGATGTTACAAATAGCAAGTTCTTATTTGAGTGGCAATGGAGATTTAATATGTGCTACAGTGTCACCGAAGCGCGTTATCATGGAACAGCTGAGGTCGAAGGGGCCTTTGGAGCCCATCTGGCCCAACCTCCTGCTAAAGCTGGGCCACCTAGAGCCAGCTAGCCAGGCCCATGCCCAGCTATCTTTCCAATGTTTCCAGGGATGGAGACTCCCCAGGAGTTTCTCTGGCCCAGCTGTGCCAGTGCTCGGCCACCTTCACCCACACCTGGCGCTTCTCAGAGACCCGCCGTGTTTCAGGCTGTACCCAAGGCCCCTGCCCCGCCACCGAGCACCACGGAATGGAGCCTGGCCGTATCTCGTCCGCGCCTCCTTTGCACACAGCGATGAGCTCTGGAAAGCTCCCCAGATCCCCTCTCCCGCTCCACCTGTGGGCCCATCGCGGCCGCCCCCCCGCGCCTACGGCCGCTCAAATCAGACAGGAGCCGGACCGCCCGGCCTCAGAGGTGGCGGCGGCCGGGCCCCGCTGCTGCTCCGTGCCCTCCCCGCCCGAACAGCCCCGCGCCCACGGCGGCACCGAGCGCTCCGATGGACCCCGGGCCCGGCCGGGCCACGCCGCCCCCGGCACCCGCCAGGGGCCTCCCTCGCGCCGGCGGCAGCGCGGGCCCGGAGCACAGCGGCGCCGCCTGGGAAAGCGGCTGCACACAGAGCGCCACAGCAGCAGCAGGCAGGGGAAGCACCGAGGGAACGCCGCCCACCCCTTACCCCAGCGGACCCTCACCCGCGGCGCCACGTCCCTTCCCGGTGCCCGCTCCCCGCCCCACCACGTGCCGGCCGCCGCCAACCGCGGCGCGCCCCGCCCCCGGCCCGGCCCCGCTGCCGCGCCGCCTCACGCCGGGAGTGCTCGGGGAGCCGCTGGTGCCGGAGTTGCTGCGCAGCGACTGCCGCCTTTCCGTGGCAAATCCTTGTCCTAACTCAAAGATGAGAGGCACCGAGTCACAGAATCGATCGGGTTGGAAAATCGCTCTGAGGTCATCGCGTCCAGCCCGTGACCGAACGCCGCCATGTAAACAGACCCACGGCACCGAGTGCCACGTCCGGTCTTTCCTTAAACACCTCCAGGGATAGCCACTCCACCACCCCCCTGAGCAACCCATCCCAATGTCTAATCTCCCTTTCTCTGAATTAATTTTTCCTAATGTCCAACCTGAACCTCTCGGTACTGCTTAAGGCTGTGTCCTCTTGTCCTGTCTTTACTTGCCTGGGAGAAGGGCCCGACACTTACCTGTCTACAGCCTCTTTTCAGGCAGCTGTAGAGACTGAAAATGTCACCCTCGGTCTCCCTTTCCTCCTGGGTAAACAACCTTGTCTCCCTCAGCGTCTCCTCCTAGGATGTGTGCTCCTGACCCTTCACCAGTTCCACTGCCCTTCTCTGGACTCGCTCCCGAGTCACTGGACTTCGTAAGACACAACTGTCTTTCCTTACTTTAAATGTATTCTCAACTTTGGAAAAAATGGTGGCGACTTTGATGTATCCCATGATAGCCTCAGTTTCTGAATATCCTCAGCAGATTTAAAGGGATGCTGTGTATTTCAGATCCTGATCTGTCAGGTGCTAGGTGCCCTTGCTGCACACGGTGGCTGCTTGGCTTCCCTCCAGAGCCAACTACATTTCAGAGCCAGAGGAAGCAAATGCTATTTTGCATGCAACGCAAATCAAGCTGCTCTAGTCATAAACCCTTTGTCCAAGGAGCAGACAGAGGCTTATGAAAAATCCAATAAACTTAATTTGAAAAGTGTACTCCATTTGTTTCTTCATAACCATATCTCTTGATCCTTTCCAACAGTCCCTAATTTGCCACCACTTCCACATTTTCTAAAATTGTAAAATTATGAACTAAATACAGCTATTTTTTTATATAAGCATTTATGCATTAGTAAATTTTCAAATATCTGAAAGGAGCCTACAAGAAAGATGGAGGTAGACTATTTACAAGAGCATGTAGTAATGGGACAAGGGGAAATGGATTCAAAGTAGAAGAGAATAGGTTTAGATTAGATGTTAGGAAGAAATTCTTCTCTGTGAGGGTAGAAAGGCTCTATAACAGGTTGCCCAGAGAAGCTGTGGATGCCCCATCTATGGAAGTGTTCAAGGAGAGGTTGGATGGGGCTCTGATCAACCTGGTCTAGTGGAACGTGTCTCCCTGCCCATGGCAGGAGGAGTGGAACAAGATGACCTTTAAGGTCCCTTCCTACCCAAACCATTCTATAATTTTATGATTTTTAGCCAGAATTTTTTTTTTAAGTTTTCAACACCTATGTTCTGTGCCTTTCACAATCCTCCCAGATCCCATGTGAATGTAATGTATGTAATAAGCCCATCATTTGCAAGTGACAGAATATCAAATGGGGACAGCCTTTTCCAAGTCTGTGAGTTGCATCTAGCAAAGATACAACTTTTTCACTCAGGGTGAAAATGGTTATTGCAAAAGTGACTACTGTAAAAGGGCACCTCAACATAGCAGTCATGCTTCCATAAAGATTTAAGAGCAGCAATGTTTAGGTAAGGAAAAAGTGGAAAATATAACAAAACCCATTCCTTGCCAATTGACTTTCACCCAACAGTAATTTTCTTAACAATCTAAAGCAGGCCATTAGGGTATGCTCAGGACTTCCAGCAAACTTCTGGATCCCTCTTTAGCACTAAAGGTTCACTGTGCCTTCTGACTTCTGACATGGTAATGGCCAAAGGAATTGAGAAAAGGTTTAACCACATGAAAACATATAAAGAAAGTAATTTGAGTTTTTCACTGTTAGTTCATTGAATTTTCCCTGTTTTGCATTCAGCCATTTCAAGGAAACTGACACAGTTATTTGGCACTACCTGTCCCAGTGACCTACTCTAAATGCTGGATTATCTTCAGCTCAAAGAGAGACTGGATGCTCTTAAGAGATTTAACCTTCCAGACAAATCAGACAATTATCCTCATCCTCACTTAGTGCAAGCAAAGTCTCCAGCTCCTTCAGCCCAGTTCAGTACCTACATATTTTACATTCACTGTGATTCTTTTTCTAAAGACTGGGCAGTTTCAGGAAACCTTTCCAAAGTTCCAGCGTTGTGTATTCCACCTCATTTTCTGTGACACTATTTCCAGTAACTTTCTCCTTTCCAGAAGAGCTTTGCTCTCCCGAAGTTTTTCCAGTTAGGAGAAACATCAGTGCCAGGGAGCTGTCAGGTAACACCCAAAGAATCCACATTTCCTAGTGCAAGGAAAGCAAAGAGGCATCTAGAGGAATGAAATGATAACATGCAACACCCACACACGTCAATTGCTCTGTTCTCTAAGAGCACCAAGTTTGCAGTACTCAAAACACCTTACTCAGAACTAGCTCACACACCAGTGCTCGCCAGGCAGGGCTTATGAGGCTTAACTACCTTAAAAAGGTAACTCACACTGTTTTCATAATATCTGATCTACTGGTAAGGAGCAACAGACCTCTGAATCACCGATGCTGTGGCTGTGCTGTGCTCTGCTGTGTGCCATAGATCTTGCCAGAGACCAAAAAAGCCTCGTAGCATTATAAATTGCTAGGGAGAGAATAAAAATCAAGCAAGAGAACATCACTGCATTGCTGTATAAATACACCTACACCTCAAATACTGCATGCAGAATATGGTAGGACTGCCACAGGTGTGAGGTAGGATATGAGGGATGCCCAAAGGTAGTGAGGGGCATCTTACTGTGAAACCCTTAAAGTAAATTAGTAACTTCACTCTGAAAGAGAAAATGGAATATAACAGAAATTTCTAAGAACATTTTTCATTGTCTCTGCAAAACTTCAGGGGCATCAAGTGAAACAAGGAGGTGACGCCTAAAACCAAATGAATCATTTAAACCATGGGGATCACCATCTTATGACATTTTGGATCTTGAAAATGATGTTTATTCAAAAGCATCTGGACTGAATCACAAAAGAAAAAAATAAAAAACAAAACCAAAAAAACCCACCAAGAAAAGTTTCAAATGACAAAACTTCTGGCTCACAAAGTCCCTGAACCTCTAGTGACTGGGACAGGATTCTGGAGTAATGACACTTCCCTGGGCACTGTCTGAGGACAGCAATCAAGTGAGTGGGCACCAGACTGGCTGACCAGGTACAGCCATTTTCACTGGAATGTCTCAATATATTTCTGCAAATCAGCAGAAGGCTTTTTTCCTAAGCACTGGGGCTTATGCTCACAAACTTTACACTTTTGACAAATCAACATCCACCTGTGGAGGCCTGAATATATGTATTGTTATAAGAGCAATAAGAATACAACAACTGAAATGTAGTGAGAGTCCTATGTATTAGATAAGTGGGTCCTAGCTATTCTAAATGAGTCACAGCTGCAAAGTCTTTAGTTGGGCAGCAGCTGTGGCTTGTAAAGATAGCTGGGATAAAAGGGGTGGGTCGAGAGCCCAGGAGGAGTCCCTGAGAAGACACATAAAGGACTGTGCTGTAGAGAAGAACAGCTCGGTACAGTATGGGACTTGAGAAATATGGAATACAACAAGAATACAACAACTTCCACCAGTGAAAAAATCTCCTCAAAAGAAATAATCTAACCCACATGCAGAAACTTTAATGTTTAAGCTGTACATTCTAGCCGTCTTGAGCTATGCCTGTGCCAGTAAGTAGAATATTTTATAATTTATGTTTCTTTCAAATGGACATGATTATATGATCATTTGAAAACTCTCAGAAACTGATTATTTAGAGCAATACAGAATTTTGCCACTCTGTGGCGCCAGATAATTAAAAAGAGGCTGAGCTCTTAAAGGGAAGCCATGGATCTTCTCATAAATGGTAGTTTTCCTAAGTTAAAAAAGTCCTTACTAGTAAGTGAAGTAACTCCGGATTCTTCCATCCAAAGCACAAATACTAGAGGTTATTTAGATAAAATGCCACTTTTCTGTCACTGAAAGACAAGTCATTGCCTTGAAAAAGCAACACTTTAAGTCATCTCGTAATAATAGTAATTGAACAGGAATGATCTTTCTCCCTTCCTCTCCTCCACTTAAATGATACCTCAAAAGTTTTCTGTCAAGAAAGATACTTTTAAATTAATTTGACTGTTGCCTGAAAGTGATCAATCTATTTATATCACAGTTTTGTAATTGCAACTAGTGTAAAAAATGGGAACCTTTTTCTCTATTGCAAATCTCAAATATATATATGTCACCCTTTCAAAGAATCCACACAAAAATGAACTTACAGAAGACGCTGTATGATCTAAGATTTTAGAATCACAAGATGTTTCCTGGCATATGTGTCCAACTGTAGACACACAAACCAATCTGAAATACATAAACTTGAATGGTTTCAATATTTATCTATGTGAGAAAAGACCAGAAAAATCTCCTTTGTCATGAAGGGGTAAGGTCCTGTTCCAGCATGTCAGAATGACATTCTACATACGCAGAAAAGTCTCATAAACCCAAAATTTTACATTCTAGTTGCAGATTTGATGACAACTTGATCGTCTCTGGAATGAA